ATGGCACAGCAGTGTATAATAATTAATAAACGGTTAATATTATAAGGATGATATGATAAAAAATAAAATCCACCCTTTTACAATGGTTTTCACAGTAAATTTTCCGCTGTAGAATGATTTATTGTACGGTTATATGTCGGGGGTGGGAGGCGCACTACAAAAGGCCCGTGCCAAAATATCGCTTTTCAATGGGAAAGATCAAAAGTGTTTTATTACGGTTCTTCCTTTCTTCTTTTATTTTTAATATAACTCCGTGGCTAACGACAAGTTCACACATCAGTACGTCATCGCACCACAATTTTTTTTCGGGTAAAAAGGCGTGACACAAAATATATATAAGTACTATGCCCTATAGATCAAAATATGACGAACACTTTGCGCTTTATCGTAGTGCGGGCACAGCTATGAGAAAAATAACAACAAACCTGAATATTATCGTGACATCGAGAATCATAATAATATTATATGTATTCTAATTATCGGTAATTAGTTATTACCAGGGTTCGGGACTTGTTGCATTTGAATATTCTTGAACTACAGTTGTACAGATGGGGCGGGAGGGAGGGGGGTAGCGTCATGAAGGATTTCTCCTTCTCGTTACTTTTTTTATATGGAATATTAGTGCGGCGGGCACATTTCTGCGATTTATTTTAAAAATAATGAATAACATAATATCTTCAACAATGAAAATTCCTGTCCATGGCACTGGATGTAGAATATATAAATTTGTTTTGAGCCATTTTTTTAGGCTGAATACGTGTTAATTGATAGAGTTTGGCAATTTAATTTTTGTTTTTAGAATATTATGCGTTTTAACGTTTTACTCAAAGTAAATCCATTTTGATGGTTTAAATTTTTTTATTTTTACTGTGTTGGTGATATTTGGTGACTCACCATTAACAACAAAATTATAAATTTAAATATAGACTGTAACTTTAAAACATTAAAACTTTAAACCCTAATATTTAATAAAACAAGATTTTTAAATGGTATTTAAATATTAGTTGCATAATTCAGTTATTTTAGGGGCATATAGTATGAGCACACAATTTTAGTTCAATAAGCCCCAAACCCTAGTTATCACTTATATTAGTTACCATTTAGTCGTATCTATAATACAATAATGTGTGATTTTAGTTATGATATTATATTATATTGTTCTGTTTCGGTGTAAATCTTTCTTCTCCGTGAGGTAAATGTATAATTCGACCTGTGTAAAGTACATGACACGAACGACATTCCGTTATCCGTCTTGGACGAACAGAGGGTGGGGGTTGTGTGTTTAAACCCAAGAACTCAGGCCAGTATTCCGGCTGGAGGGGTTAGGGGAAAATGCCATTTCACATGTACGCATCGTTAAGTGCAAACAATCGCGTGTGTTACATTAAGGTGAGCGTTAAACCGACATCATACGTCTGTGTCCAACTCAGTTACACCTATAGGCCGATTTCTCCTTAACTCTGCAAGGAGCAGGCACTTTATGGTTTATGTACAGGGTGAGCATACAAGCATACACACCACCGTTTTCCCCCGTGCAGGTAATACAAACGTATGTTGGGACTGTTCACTATAGCGAAATCACTTATTTTTGTTGAATTGTTATGTATCCTAAATCGTTAAGAATAGGATTTTTTTGAAAACAGTTATCGAAATTCTTGATGAGTATAACAGTTTTCGATAAAATCGTCATATAACAATTTACAGTACAGAGGGCGGTTATTGTTTCGACAAATTTAGAATGACTTTGTGTACACCACGCATGTCAAAATATAAGTATTTGAAAATTTCAACATTGTCATAAATACGTTTTGAAAGAATAAAAGTTTATTGAACATGTTTGGTGAATTATCCAGTTTATATACTAATATATAGGTACTATAGAGGAGAAAATAAGTTAATGGTTATTTATAATATACATAGGCATACAGTCTCACCGTCTGTAACTTAAATGATTTTGAGTTTTATAAACTTCTGCACACAAGTAGATATGTATATATTCAGTGCATTTGAACAATTTATAAAATTAAATTTTCCAGTCTAGTGACGAATTGAAAAAAAAATTAAAATGAAATATTATGTACTAAAAATTAAATTGGATTTTCTTTAGCTTTTTATATTCGTTGTTTTGAATTGTTCGTCTTAAGATAATACTGTGGTTTATATTCTTTTACAAACAAATTACACGACTGTTTTATTTTGATTAACTTATCTAAACATTTTTATTCCGCACACATACACATGCAATTAAATGTTCGTTCATTTATCTTTTTTTGAAATGAAAACCATTTTCCAGGCCATCAGACACTTTGGTCGTTGAGCCTATAATAAATTAGTGTGCTTTGTAATGTCCACTGATTTACTTATATCGATGATAAATAAAGATAAAGTGTCCTCTGATTATTTCGAGATCAATATTAGCTAAGCTCAAGATATTATACTACTCAAAGTTAGTAAACATTTTGAAGATTAAAATTATAGAAACTAGAATGTGTGTGATTTTCCCGATAAATGTTTAACAAATATATTTAATGAATTATACATTATCGGTATTTATGAATTCTTAAAGTACTATATAAGTTCATAATAGTTGATAAGTTTATATAAGGATATAACTTATAATTCATTAAAATTTATATTTTGGTATTTGACGAATTATTAGTTAAGTATATTCATTTTATATGACTGGAAGAGGGAGACACTTGTTCGGTTTAAATTAAAAATTGTCGTTTTTTTTGTGAATAAACATTTATTTTGTTCTTTCTAATTTTTGTATAACAATAGTTACTTATCAGTTTATTATAATTATTTACTTTTAGAACTAACTCCATAATAGTAATCTAAAGTTTATAACTTATAAGCTATAACTCTAATAGAGGTATAACAGATTTGAGGTATTCAATTTTAAACTCTTTCTGCAAAAATTATACGATGAATATCTATCACTAGTTAATAGTTATACAATGACGTTTGGTTAATTTTATTATGTCGTATGCCATTTTTGGATTAGAGTACTTCAATAATGTCATATAATATATATATATATATAGAGAGAGAGAGATAGTTTTTATTCACATTATACATGCAATCGTCAATAATTTATTATGATTTAATTACTAAATTGTTGTATGCAGTTTTTTATAGTAAAAGATTCCATCAACTCGTTTTCGAAATTGAAAGTTTTTATACATTCATTATATTATTATATAGTCTTGAAAATGTTTTTAATTATCAAGCTTGATAAATCTTAACACTTAAGTATTTTATTTCTGAGATAATAAAAATTAATTGCTTTCTGTGTGACTACTTCAATATGTTGCGAAGAAATAAAATGTTTTCTTTATTGTTCATTGAAATGGTTGCATTTTTATTCCAAATAAAACGTAGCTTTATATGTGTTTACGTTTAGATTCAGTCGTCAAAAATAAAACTAAATTAAAGTTCCTTCCGCTGACCTAGTAAATAACTAATTAACTTGGGACAAATTTAAATTAATTTTAAAAATAAATATTGTATGTTATGAATGATTGACGTTTTTATTTATCACATTGAATACTGTAATATTTATTAGATATTACTACGTTATAAAATATTAAAATAATATTTATTTAGTTTTCGCCATGACGTAGGACAATGGTTTATAATTATAAACACAATATGGTTATTATCAAGAGCTATGAAATATAGTTTTACTATAATATAATCATAACTTATGTAAAAAGGTTTACATGCTTTATGTAGTTCAAGGCAGTGGTGTATACGTACATTTTGTATGGAGGGGGATAAGTGGAAAAACCAAGTTATTATGTCTAAAAATAAGACGTTTTAAAGTTATCATTAAATCCTATAGTGTATAAGGTTAATTAATTTTAAGTGATACTGAACTCTTCAAAATGAAAAGGCCTAATATGACGCCTATGTATGGATACTATGATATTACCTATTGTGGCTCACGATTGCAAATATTACGGTTTAGTGCCGTCTTGGGGACCGAGCGATGAAAAAATAAATCTAACGATGTTAACAATATTATGTTTACGAAAAACAAACTAAAAGTCATTAAAAAGTGTTTTTAGAGTAAACACTGAGCATTTTTAATAACATTTATAGAGAAAAATATATTATTTTGGAGACAACGAAATTCTCGTCTTAGAAATATATTCAGTTTATTAAAAAGAATAAAGGTTTTGTATTATTCTAAATAATATACTTCTCGGTACAAAAGGCACAAAAACTTTATTTCAAAAACTCTAATGAGGATGTCTCTCGAATATTATTCTCTATCAATTGCATAAGTCATAACGAATGTTTCAGTTTCTACTCTCGGATTTTTTTATGTCTTTTTGTTTGGTTTACTTGGACGTGTTTTTACTACTGCTGATAATGATCAATATAACCATAACGTACCTACATTTAACAAGTTGTGATGGCAATATCGTTGCAATTAGATACATCTTCTATATCTTGTGTATAATATACAGATATTTAATGTACTATACTCAGTAAACTGACGATACTGTATTGTAATAATAATTATATCATTTACGACGGAAAAAATATCCAATTTACAAAATATTAAATATATAAGATAATAATTATTACATAATAAATATTTAATATAAAATAGATGAGGCTACATGATGTACACATATCATATAATATAAGAAATATAATGTTTAAATGCATATAGTTTCATCTCTTTAAGCGAATAATGAAATATACCTTCATTCATGGAATTTCCAAAATACAGTAAAATATTAGATGGGGAAAGTTGTATATAATATTATTTTGAAATTTTATCTTAAATATATATATTTTTTTTTTAATACAATGAGGGTATCTGACCCTTACTCCCTCCTGTATATCCGGTATCTGTCTTATACATGTTTGTAGAGAAATTATGAGATCTTAAGTTGATTTACTTATATTATTTGGTTTATATTAAGTAATCACGTTAACACACGTTTTATTCAATATTTTATTTTCTGATTATTATGTTTCAGGATCTCAGAGTTTTATTCGTACCTTGGATATTTGCAATAATCATAGCAACTACTGTTGACGTCACACATTCAATATATTTATATGGAAATAATACGGTAAATATAAATTTAAAAAAAAATAATAAAATTGACACTGAAAAGTAAATTATTTTTACTGGAAATTGACACATCGAAAATTTAATTGCTTAAGATTTATAGTCGTATTTACTGCTGTATGACTAACCACAAATTATTTACTTGGACTGTACATTTCATTGACGATGACTGAATTTTTTAATTTACATATTAATTCACGAATTATAAACTCATCATGACTTACAGAGTCATCTACAGGTTGGCCCCTTGGGGATAATAAACACTTAATTACTCATTTGTCATCACTGAGTAATTTTCAGTCAATCACCTGGTACGTATATAAAACTTTAATTTCATTCTCCGTCGGGCTAAATTCGTAAATGTCTCAACTAATAAACTATTTTGAAAATTGATATTAAAATTTAAAATATTTATGAAGATTCTTTTATATTTCAATTACATGGAATACACCTAACATAATTTAATGTACAATGCTTCCTAACAATTAATATATTTATAAATATCATATTTTATTCATACTCATATTTTTAATTTTAAAGCACATTCATAAAAATTACTCGAGTGCTCAAATTACTCAAATTACTCAATTTAATCGTTTGCTAATTTAAATAACAAACAATTTGAAATACCCATAGTTAAAAAATATCATTTTTATCAGACGGCGCACTGAGTATGCAAAATAATAGCATTCCGGCCGTGTGATGCAAAATGCAATGTTGTGACGTAAAATATAATATTATTATGAGTTATGATGAATGATATTTTAAAATAACTACAATACCTAATATTGAGCTTATTATACACTAAAAACGTCTAATGGAAACGGTTATTCAATAAACCGTAGGCATCTACATAATTAATTATCTTGGACCGATACTGAGATCTACGCGGACCAGGAATAAGTGAATCACATCTTTTGATACAGTCCAATTTGCATGAATCGCATGCGCATTAGATGAATCTGTCTTTCAAACTCTGGTTTAACGGTATTAGTTTGTAGTTTCATCCCCAATTTATTAGCATATTACTCATTAACTCCCCAATAATATATCTATGTTAGTCCTTTCAACACTGCGCACTGGCTTCGACTGCTCTTCGATTTATCGTGTTAAATTGTTAAAAATCTGTTTCTGCTTTTGTTCTATGTCGTTATATAGTCATAACGAATTTGTTGAAAAACTTGAGACGAGTGAAACATGAGTGTATCGGATAAATTTGGAGATCACTTCGACACCATCAAGTTTAAATTGTAAATAAATGTAGCCTTGACAGACAAAAACGGTCAGCGATCAATGTGTTCTCTCCATAATCCGATTAGCATAGCTGATGTCTATCAACTCAGCACAACGCCTAAAATTAACCCATTTGTTCAAACCACATACATAATCTCTTAATACTATTTATTGAAACTTATGCTTTCAGTTAGGTATTACCACGATTCACTACTTGCCTAATGAAAACGCATAATGAATATTTTTTCGTATATTCGACTCAGCAAAATATATATTCTGTATGAACTATGAATTCAATAGTGCTCTGAGAGGGTAAAAACACGTGTCCGTACAATGCTGTATTATATAGTCATTATATACCACTGGTGTCAAGTTAACGCCAAACCTATTAAAACGAATATGATCCAAAATTGACTTAGTCGTAAGCTATATTTTTGCAAACTACTTCACTGCTCTTATAATATCATTAAAATTTTAACTCGTTTAGACGACTTCATACAATAATTAGTTGGATTAAAGAACCCCAGATAGGCTGTTCGGATAGACAGTTTCAGTTGTTCTCTAATTTCTTAAATTAAATAATAGTTAGAAGAGTCCATATATTTGTACACTGATTCAATTTCACTCGCGTACAATGCAATTATTCATGGTGATGTATTTTTTGTGTAATCAAGATGATCAAAGCCAGGTCGAGATATGATACTTAATTACCATACAGAAGTATAGTATAATTAATTGAATTAGTCGAGTTGGAGAATGATCACTGATAATAAAATTAAGCTCCAAACATTCGATAATACTTGCATACTAAATGTATGTGCGGATTAAAGCATAATAAATGGGAAATCCGTGAGGACAAATAAACAACGAATATCACAGTTGAATAATAAAATATATTATGTATAGTATTATAACGTATGCTATACCAGTGTACGATTTTCTTAATAATAATATTATATATGTATGTACCAGTATAATACAATATAAATAAAAAAAATGGAATGTAATAAAAACTAATTAATTTACAAAGTACCTATTAAAATTAATAATCCGACCTATATATACACAATGCATCATGTACCAACACACATATATATTAACCTATATTTTATTATACCCAGAAGGAGAAAAGATGATTTTTTCGAGTTTCTAAATACCTGAACAGTTTTCGTGTACAAACAACCGTACAGTTGGTTCATTAGTAATTTGTCAAATACTATCTCCTCATTATTCTTTTATTATGACATTTAACTTAACATTATAAGAAAAAAATATTTAGAGATACTCGAAAACTAAAAGTAGAAAGTTTTTTTTTAACTGCAGAACCGTTTATCACATTATTATAACGCAGCTCTAAACACACTAAGAAAAACTTGAATTGTTAAACTTTTGTCGTCATGCTTTCCTGAACGGTAACCAAAGTTGAGGACTGCAAAAATATTGTAATGTACTCGTCAATTTTATGTATGACTACCATTTGAATGCTAAGTACTCACTACTCTGCTTTGACTTCATTCTACAACATGGACCTATTATACAATGACTGCTAATTGACCAGACTTTCTTGAACTATCGGAGTAGCTTTCAGAGCTTTTCGGGTGCGACCTCCAACCGCACTAGACGAGAGTGCAGTCGTAGTCGTGCCATTAAATAAAAAATGCAATCTATTCGAATTGGTTGTAAATGTTGAAAAAAAAATGTATACGTAGACGATTTTTCTAAATATATCGGTTGAACATTATTTACTATTCAGTTATGTCAGTTGAAAATGTAGATATTATACACTGTATAAGTATGTGAAGTAATTTATATCTATAACACCCACACGTGCACTTGTGATTATGTTATATAATAAAGTCGTAGAATGTCTTTTTTTTCATTAAATACAGAATAGATACACAATGTTGCAGTAAATTTGTTTCATATTCCATATTCAATATAATATTATTATACGTCTGAAATATTACGGAGTTCTGAGTTTTTTTTTTAAATATTCGTCTCCATTGTTAAAATCAACCACTTTCAATGCATCTCACATACTCTCCATACTGCCCCATCTCAATTACTCAAAACATGGCATAAAGAATATGATTTTACTTTTAAATTACAGTATACCGTCCTAATAAGCGCGTAAAAGATTAATTTCTGAGGTATACATTGCCTCGGGTTGTTAGCCTATAATTAGTTTTAAAATGTAATTAAATTTATCTTATGACCGAATTCATAATTATAATATGATGTAATATTCGTACTGATAAACAGCACACTCGTTAACATAAAATAAAACTATAATTTTAATCAATTTCGCGAAGTTGCTGTCACGATTTCATTGTTTAGAAAACAAACCATACCTATACGTCTGTATGAACGTGCGTGCTTTGAAGTTCAAATTAAGTGTCAATAGCAGTAGTTTCATTAAATCTATCCTAACCTACAATATGATAGGTATGATATGTTCTATTGAACAACACTACAATTAAAAAACTGATTCATTTTCGTTCAAATTATATATTTTTTTTTATACAATTCTTAGATTCCAAGACATAAATATAGTATAGTTATTATACTATAATATTACTACTATGTACTATATAGGTACTATAGTAGATCATATATGATTTAAATAGTTCACCTCACCTTCATCATAACAGATATTTTTTATAATAGAACTTTGCTGTTAATGACTTGAAGCGAAGATTATTTCATATGTTCGCAGTACAACAGCTGGTGACTAATTAGTAGAGTAAATAAAATATTATGCACCATACTTCAACAGATGTATGATATTAGTATGAACCAAAAATAGGACAATAATCAACTCAGTTTTAATTCAATAGTGACATTCAATTGATTATGTCCAAGACATGTATAAATAATTTAATGCCCACTAAACTATTTAAAGAGTGTGCTTAATTCTTTATTATCGTAAATACTTTTTATTTAAAAAAACGTTAGCAGCTATCGGCTTTGGTGAGGTGAATTCTTAATGTTAGTAGAAGGTAGAGCTGCTAGTGCAGTGTACCATCATCGGTACGGAGATGACATGAGCTTGTCTGACTTTGTGAGACATCGACGAGCATAGATTGGGTGGATGGAAATCTGTGCTTATACTTTGTTATTGATCAAGGTAGTTACCCTGAATTGTTATACATATTTACAAGATATATTACCTATTGGCAGTTAAGTTCATAATAATTTTGTTCCATATTATAATATATTATATTATTAAATCAAAAATAAAAATTAATTATCAACAATAATCATTTGTTGATTCCATTGACTGGTAGGCACAAAAAATAAAACAATGCAAACTAGAAAATGCTATAAACTGTAATCAATTAAAATACAGAACCACAGTTTTGAAAACGTTGCCGTGGTATTTTATCATATTTTGAAAAAGTTGAGAATGAAAACAAGATTTAGTGTAGGTACTCGTGTTATTTCGTCGTTATATTTTACTTGAAAACTTTAACTATATAATCGAATATTTTAATTATAGCCATGCACAGACTCATGGTTCCAGGAGTGGACATTAAAAATTAGTGCCAACAAGATTTTTGAAATCCAGGTACAGGCAATTTTTTTAATTTTATAACAGTTCTTAGGTAAACTTAGTTTTGTAGAAAATAAATACCTTTAATATTAGATTTTAAAATTAAGAACACCGTAACATACCGTGTTTTGAGAAATTATTCGAATTCTCAGCGAACGGCTCAAACGCAAACGATTCTTTTTTTCTAACCAACGCTTTTGTTATTATTCATATATGAATACATATTATAATTGTATACAAATTTTAGTATATTTCACTGAATCAACCAAGTCATGTATTATAATGGAGAATGCAGTATTTCCAAAACTAGTTTATCAGAAGATAATGTGGTTACTCTGGGTATCGAGTAATTTAATTAATGAGTATTTTGTATATTACAAAAGTTCATTTTCAGCGTTTTATACTCAGCTTGTATTATACAATTTAAGCTTATTTTAATATTTGCCTAGGTAATATAGTTCACAATTTATTTCAATCAACCGCTGCCAGTATTATTGAGCTGTGGAAAGGAAGTATAAAGGGTTGGTTACGGGGATTGGAGATAGGAGAACCTATATTAGTCGAACAGACTATTAATTATTAATCACGTCCGATTCAACATTATTCCGCCCATATCGCAGAGACAAGACTATATAAGCGCGCTCCTAGAAATGTTCAATAAGTTGCGTGTTTTACCTTTAAAACAACTTTAACTTTCAGACATTAATTTACATCCGTTCGGAAAGGTTCATTTGACCCGTAATTGTGTTTCAATCAAAAGTTTCTTTGGTGATTTTTTTTTTGAATCGATTATAAGAGTTCTTTTGACTAAGATAAATTATACAGAAAAAAACAGCGTCTCTCAAAATTGAATCTTTTTCGTTTTGTATTTTTTTAGTTTAAAACGGGATGTGCGTGCAAGGGACGTGTTTTTTTTGTAAGTGACATTTACGGCCCGACATTAGATAGACGATCTTCTCAGGGTTTTTTTTGTATACGCATTACGCACATCACATATAATAATTGCTTTTTATATGTATAATTTATTAGACAGGTGGTTGTTTTTAATCTTATCCCGTAAGGTTTGTAGAGCAAACATCTTACGAGAATAAATAAAATATTTTCAAAAAGAACACTTGTTATTTAAACTAATTCGATACGTATAATTCGCGTGATATTATAATATTACAATTTCGATCCAATAAAGATTATCAATTTTTTATTTCAGTAATATTTGATTAATTTAAAACAGTTTATTTATTTTTGACAATAATTATCTATTTAATACAATATTATTATTAATGAATTATGATTTTTTTACCACACCCTGGAATATTGTATTCATCATTTAGTATTCTATTTTTTCCTCTTACAAATCAACTTTAAAGCCTATAGATAATATTAAATATTTATAAAATAAGTCGCATAATATTGGAAACATTTATTATTTTAGAATGTTTTGAATTAAAATATTATTGCATTGATCGACTTAATTTTATCGACTTTATTGATGATTTATCTAATTACATTTTTAACACCTAGTCATTAGCACTACATTATTATTTTAATAGATAAATTATAAATTAGCATCAGTAAAACTTACTACTACTAGTAAAACATCTTGAGACTCAATACCAAACAAATTGAAATAAATTATAATAACATTAGTAAGTGTCGTACATCCACTAATATATCTTTCCTTGAAGACATCATAATTACTAGGGAACAAATAAGACATAAAATCTTCAAACATATCAATCTAATAAAATACCCTAAAGGAATACCCACATATGTGTCCAATTCAATGATACCTAACAATTAATCACATTATATTACACTGCCTGAAATGTTCACAGTCGAGATTCATCCTAAACGACCTAAACAAAAATAGTAATCTGTGAACACAACACACATCAGATTCAACTCTTCTTCAAGGCAATTGAATACATTACCAAAATCTAAAATTTAAGATCCCATTAAAATAATTTTTAAGTGCCCAATATCGAGGCAAAATTAACCAAAATAATTCTGTGCACATAACGCTCACGAACAAACAAGGAATATGTACACTTAACAAATTTACCAACTCCTATATCTGATGACCCAGTCAGATATTTAGGATTGATTCTTGACAAAAAACTAACATATAATAAATATCTTCAAACCAAATGACAAACCTCAAATAATCGCATGTGTATGCTTAGACCTCTGTTAATTGGAAATAAATGCTCCACCTTAAACACCAAACTATTAATCTACATAGATCTACTCAAACATATCTGAAAGTACGGAATTCAACTATGGGGTGTGACAAAAATATGTACCGACATGTATTCTTCCTCTTACCACTAGTGGTACGCGTATCATAGTTTGAGAACCTCTGCTCTAACCCAACTTTTCATAATGATCTCCATATGAGAACAATGATAGAGGAAACACGCATTTTCTACACACGTTTCTATAAACGACTTCAAGCCCATAAAAGATCTCTTACTCTCTAAGAAATACTAAACGAAGGTTAAAAAGGAAGTGGTGCCATAACCTATTACAAAACATTAATGTCGAACGTAAATATATCTATGTAGTGGAAAAAAAACAAAAGCCCAGAGTCACTAATGGGTGACTGCTTAATCACACCTTTCATGTTATTTACTATTAACATAGAAACTAATTGTGCTAAATTCTATAGATTGTTTATGGATAGTAAAAAAAAAAAAGTACCCAATAATAAAATACAATTTTTTTTTTTACTATTTTTAAGTGACTCTAGTTCTAACAATACTTTAAAGTATAACATAATGTAATACTGTAAACATAGGCTAATGACCAAGTTGTTGAAGCATTTATTTCTAAATGAAAAAAAAAATTATACACCACAGCATAGGTACGAAAAACAAAGTCATACCAAAAATTGATTTGATATTTTTGTTTTGTTATTTTTATCATGAATCTTATGCCATGTTTAAATGTGCTGAAAATATAATATAC